TGAAGATGCAGCTAAGATAGGAAACCAGGTTTTGAAAGATGAAGAGCTCATCAGAAATATAAACACGTTCTTTCACTGCCAGACCTTGTAAGTTTGACGTATCACTTTTGAAAAATACTAGATTAAATGCAGAAAAGACTATGTAGCCCAGAGCTCTTGTGATTTCAAAGCCAAGTTCTTCAGCCTGACATGGCTTGCTCCAGAGGTATCTCAAAATCAGTCCTCTCTATTTCATCTCAACAACCAAAACTAGGTAACACATGGTCATGGTATCTAGATCTGCTGGAATGCAAAACATTCAAAATGCTGATGCTGTTTGAATCAAAATATTGTGCCTTTTTTTTTTTTTTTTTTAATGAAAGAGCTCACATTTCTGGTCCTGAAAAGTACTAGAAGGCATCTGTTCATTCATGTTAATAAGATACAATAGAAAAATGCAAAGACTGTTTTTTACTGTTTGGCAAATCTATTTATTAGATAATGTTTTATTTTGAGAATGTATAAACTCAGACTACTGAAGGAGATTCAACAAAAAATTATGAAGAAAGCACAGGAAGTTCTTTAATTCTTCTCAGTAGCTATGGCACCATGAACTATTCAAAGCTATTAAAAATAGATTAGTAGTTATTTACAGAAATATTAATTTCTGGAGGAAGTAGTAAACAAAGTGGGTGGAGGGGATTTTTTTTTTTAATTATGAAACTAGCTCATTTTTAGACTACTGCTTTGAGTCTTGATTCTTTACCTTAGATATCAATGTCCATTGGCAAACTCAGCGATGGAAAAAGTGAAAAAGAGTTGACTGCAAGTCCTAAAACTGGACTTTATGCCATATTTGTATAGAAAAACCCTAGGTTTTTAGGAAGCAAGCAAAGAAGCCAGGCTCTAATTTATTGCATTAGAGTGATGGGCAACAGGAGTGATGGTAATACTGGTTGTAATTGTTTAATGAAGGTAAGTAATTACTGCTGAGTTCATGAGGTATGTTCCAGCAACACTGCAAAAAACCCACTTTAGTGTTGTAAATAACAGCTACCTACAAATGTAATCACAAATCAAAATGAAATAATGTATTCATTTAGGTGGCATGATATAAAAAGTACATCATTTACCTGAAAGTCTTCCTCCTGCTGTTAAAAAAAATAAACTAATTCTGCACTGAAAAAAAACCAAACTCAATAATAAAACCATCTGTTTAGGTAATCAGATATCACGTCTTCTAGTGAGAGGAAATTAACTTGAGATCATCAAACTTTGGGTCCTGTGTGAGCCGAGTAAGAGCTGCCCCACAAGCTGAGTGAATGCAGGAGGGCTGGGAGCATCTGCAGCAATGGTCTCTGCCATGGGCAGGGGTGTCCTTCCCATCTGGTCCTGCCCTAGCTCACCTAGGGTTTCTAAAGCAGGAAGAAATTTCTCTCTGGGCTCAGGCTGGTTAACTTTATCACTTCGGAGGATACTGAAAGGCTGCCTTTTAGGATAAAAGGATTACGGGCAGGCACTTAAAATGTAAAAAGTTAATAAGCTGATTTGTAATTAATTGTAAATTGTGGCAATTTTGTGGTTTCTGTGTCTAAAAAAGTCCAACTTCTTTTTTTACTAGAGGCTTGTGGAAAGGCTGACAGACATTTCAGTCTGGATGTAAAAGTAGGGTAAGATTTAAAGTTTCATAGGTTGTGACAACCCTTAAAATGCCCTCCCCACAATACATTTAAGGGGAAAGGATCAAAAAGAGGATCAAGAGTGGAATAAAAATTACGAACTACAACAAAAAGGCCAAATACTGATTTCCTATGAAATTTACAAACACCAAGAATTTGGGGATTTTAGTATTACTTTCATAACTCTTTTAACCTGTACCTACTCTATTTTTATGTTTCAATAAATGTTTAATAAAACTGTCACTTATAAAAAACATTCATTTTTCCTTTTCCAACATGGACCAATCAAGACTTGGGGTTTTGGTGGTTTTTTGTCTGTTTAGCTTGTTTGGGGTTTTTTACTGCTGTGATTTACAGTTCTTTGCATTTAACTAGCATCAATGCAACAATACATGGAAATAACTCACAGCAAATCACTGTTTTTGGATACAGCATAGTGAAGACCTGGTCACAAAATAGATGCTAAAACACCAGTTGCATCTTATTTGGGATACCTGACCACCAAGAAAATATGAGAAACATTCCTGTTCTTTAAAGGCAGAAACTATACTTGAAGAAAATACTGTTTATATATGCAAACTTCACAGCTGCACTTGCAAGATACATCTTTTCACATTTTGCCAATAATAATTTGTGGTTTATGGGGCTCTTTATGACCAATAACTTACAAACACGAATATCCTGTGCTACTTTCAGCATTCTAGCCATCCATGCAACTGAGCAAACTGGATGGATGCATATGAAATATCTGTGTTACACACGTAAATCCTTCTTCATAACTACCTTATATCTGTCATAGCACAGTGGAAGCAGAAAACCATACTTTTACCACATCTAGTGGA